TCTTGTAGTTCTTAAAGTTAAATGGATAAATAACATTTTGCTTTACAGCTATGTGCCTAATGATATGTAATACTGTTTGCTTTAAATACAATACTGGCTTGATAGCTTACCATAACACTGTTGTTTTTGCAACACATGTGGACTTACAGTATTAACAAATAAATACATTCATAAATATATTGTTTTTAATGTGGTGTATTTTTTTTTCACAACTAGCAAATATCACTGAATAAAACATTCAGTATATGTCAGTGTACAGAATGTCCAAGCATTACTCATGCGTACTACCAAACCTCCCTGACCCCAAGAGCATAGCCCAGCATTGTTTTACCTTGTTCTTGTAGATAGAAATTACTCTGTTACGTCATTGGCAGGTTGTAAACATCTACCAGGGGCAGCTGCTGGGAGCTCAACCTATATCAATGAAGCACCTGCAAACCCCCTATCCCCAAACATAAAACTACAGCCCAAGATTGCAGGATTTGGCCATACCTTGAAAAGACTGTTTCGCCCGGTCAACCAATTCTTCTATAGAATAACTGGCAAGCTCCCCTCGTGCATGTTTTGTTTTGCAGTAGGTACATGCATTTAGGCACCTAAAAAATAAAGTTCCAACAATAACATAAGTGTGTAAAACACTGCATATGTCTAGTAAAACATTATATACATTTTGCAGCCTGTATGCTCCTGTATCTCTCAAAGGTATCTGATCAGAGCATACTTCCAATCAAATACAAGTAACCGGTCATTTAAATTAACACAGCATATGAATCATTAGACAGGGAAATGTTACTAAATCACTATATAATTTTGTTTTCTGTTTTTTAAAAAAGCAATAAAAAAAACTCCCAAACTCCGATTTGTCCCATGTGCAAATAAGATTAAAAACTCTGAACAGAAAATACAAAGAAAAAAAAAATGACTCATGAACGTTCGCATTACCATGGTTAGATTATGCAGTTAACATATCAGGTAAAATATCAAATGTCTTTCTTTTGCTTTTTATTTGTATGGAATCTTTATTTTTTGAACATTTAGTACAGTGTGCCCATGGCATACATTTACCAGAGCATTCGAAAGAGAAAGCCAATCACAGGATACTCTTTTTCTGATGGTCTCAGTCTAACAGACATTTTAGTAATTGAAGGACAGAGGGAATGGGCCAAGTCACACCTCTGACTCATTCAGTTATATGTACAGGTGAAACTTGAAAGCGTGGAAGAAAAAGGTGCACAAGCAGCAGGGATGACAGCAGCCTGGAGAGGATTGTCAGGAAAAGGCCATTTGAAAGTGTTGGGGACTTTCACAAGGAGTGGACTGAGGCTGGAGTCAGTACATCAAGAGCCACCACACACAGACGGATCCTGTACATGGGCTTCAAATGTCGTATTCCTCTTGTCAAGCCACTCCTGAACAACAAACAACCTCAGAAGCATCTTAGCTGGGCTAAAGAAAAACAGACCTGTTCTGTTGCTCAGTGGTCCAAAGTCCTCTTTTCTGATGAGAGCAAATTTTGCATCTCATTTGGAAACCAAGCACCCAGAGTATGGAGGAAGAATGGAGAGGCACACACTGCAAGATGCTTGAAGTCCAGTGTGAAGTTTCCACAGTCTGTGTTGATTTGGGGAGCCATGTCATCTGCTGGTGTTGGTCCACTGTGCTTCATTAAGTCCAGGGTCAACGCAGCCGTCTACCAGGAGATTTTGGAGCACTTCATGCTTCCTTCCGCAGACGAGCTCTATGGGGATGCTGACTTCATTTTCCAGCAGGACTTGGCACCTGCCCACACTGCCAAAAGCACCAAAACCTGGTTCAATGACCGTGGGATTACTGTGCTTGATTGGCCAGCAAACTCGCCTGACCTGAACCCCATAGAGAATCTATGGGGCATTGCCAAGAGAAAGATGAGAGACATGAGACCGAACAATGCAGAAGAGCTGAAGGCCGCTATTGAAGCATCCTGGTCTTCCATAACACCTCAGCAGTGCCACAGGCTGATAGCTTCCATGCCACGCCGCATTGAGGCAGTAATTGCTGCAAAAGGGGCCCAAACCAAGTACTGAGTACATATGCATGCTTATACTTTTCAGAGGTCCGATATTGTTCTATGTACAATCCTTGTTTTATTGATTGCATGTAATATTCTAATTTTCTGAGATTGTGGATTTGGGGTTTTCATGAGCTGTAAGCCATAATCATCACAATTATGACAAATCACGGCTTGAACTATCTTGCTTTGCATGTAATGAGTCTATCTCATATATTAGTTTCACCTTTTAAGTTGCATTAGTGAAATAAATAACCTTTTGCACAATATTCTAATTATTCGAGTTTCACCTGTATAACCAGAGCTCCTGGAATTGAGATCTGTTCACAACACAGGCTAGTCACAGCAAAGCATGTAAAGGGAATGTTTAATGCAGTGGCAATGTGAGAACATATAATGTATTTCAGAATATACCTTATTCTTTTTTAAGACTCTCATATTTGCTTTTTTTAAATGTAAGTATTATTATAAGAAAAAAAATAAAATGCAGATTAGCCACTAGAGGAAGCGTTCTCAGTGGCTCAATGCTTTATTTCTGCTTCTTGATTAAAATTGCTGAGACAAGAAATCCATCACAAAAGTAGTGTATTGTTTTCATTGTAGCTTAGTAGAGTATGCTCTCTAACGCACCACTTCCTGAAAAGTGTTATAAGTTACCCATGACACACGGAGAGCAATGGTTTCAATGAGGCGACCAACTCAGTAGGAGACCAAGCTATCCAAAAAAAGTGACAGTGACTGGGTTGGAGACAAACCATGTGGAGATAAACTCAAAATAAAATAGAGGCACATATACTGATTATTAAAAGAATATGTTTTTTAGAGAATATATATCTATGTAGATATATATATATATATATATATCTACATAGATATATATTCTCTAAAAAACATATTCTTTTAATAATCAGTATATGTGCCTCTATTTTATTTTGATCCATATATAGATATAGATCTATAGATATAGATCTATAGATCTATAGATATATATAGTATCAAACTTTAAAAAAATATATATTGCAGTGATTTTATTTTTTAATAAACTCTATTCAGTCACTGATGGGCAGAGCTGTCTTTCACAGTCAAGTGGGCTGGGGTGGGTGGATCCCAAGTTGACAGCATTCACAGTTAAGGGGGAGGGTGTTTTATTAAATTCATTTATAATAAATAACTCTGAAATGGTTGACATGGCAGCCATTTAAATAATAATAATCTTTGACAAAACTCCAGATACTCTTAACATAGATCAGGTCACCAAGCTATTAAAAAATGTACATACAAAAAACCCCCAGAAAAGTGAAGTGCATAAACTTGTTTAATTTCCTTAAGATACTGACAGGTGTACTTTGTAAATTGTGCATTGCTTTATAAGGGCAATGGCTGTATTTTGTTGATTTTAAGGTTGAACTTAAAATCAAATGGCCCTCGTGTAAACAGGTCCTCATTATAGCATCATTATAATTATTGTTCTAAACTGCCCACAGTCACAGCACTGGAAACAAAGCTGGAAAATGAGCATTTGAATTTGACACAAAACAGAGAATAATTGAAAGTCTATCTAAACCCAAGAACAACCTTTTTTTTAAAAATACCAGTTCTTTTATTTAGGGTCTTCAGTTTTTCAGACTTTTTCCCCCCTCTATTCACACCTGCTGATTCTGCATGACAACACACTTTATGTTCAAGAGTAGCCTTCCTCAGGGATCCATATGGCAGGCGGGACGACCAAACGAAAGGACGCTAAGTCCACAGCGGGCTGGAAGACAGGGGGCGGATCTTCCAAGATGACGGCGGAGATCGGCAGCCGTGCTGGTGCGGCTGCCCGTCATAGCACAGGAGCAGGCCCTGTTCCTCCTCGATCTGAGATCGTGAGTACTGGGTCTCGCCGGGCCCATTCCCAGGCTTCTACCTCCTCTTTGAGAGAGAACTTTGAAAGATATTTTATTGGCGCAACAGGCTTCTAATTCCCTCTAGTCCTGACATAATGGAGGCTGACTTAGGCCTTGATGAAGCCCAAGGAGGCACTGATATATTGGCTAAGTTTTCTGAAATGTTGGAACAGGGACTGAACAAAATGGCTAAACAAATTACATCTGATAGACGCATGGTACTCGTATAGATGTTAGAATCAAAATTGGCTCCCACCGTCTTCCCCTACCCTCCTCTCCTAACTCTCCTTCCCTTCCCCCCCATCTCCCATATGGGGGGACAGCATCGGAGACCTATGGACTACTCTTCTCACCCCTGTACCTCGGGCATACGTTGATCTATCTGAATACATTGGTTTTTTTTTTGTTTTGTTTGTTTTTGCTTTGGTTTCTACAGCATGTTTATGTGGAATGTGGGGAGGGGCTAACTGGAATTTGCCTTTATTGACATGTCTGAACGTCGGGGGGTGAGTTGCAGCGGTGGGATTACATTTCTCCCCCTTTCGGGTCTGTTATACACGGAAGTTTATTAATTGCTTCTGCCGCTACGAAGCTGGTGGTCAGCCTGGGTGTCGTCTCTGGTGCCCGGAGGGCGGTGGACATCTGATACCCTTTGAGGGTTCAATGTGATACGCCGGGGTGACGCCTAGGAGCGGGCACTTCCCCTCCCCCTGCTCTGGGGTTCCGGAGCCGCACCAATGGTTTCCCCCGCTCTGACATACGGGTAAATAGCCCTCTCCCCACCTCTCAGCTCTAAGTTTGTTTACTTTATGCCGAGTACGCTGAGTGTTCCTAGTTCATTGTTTTACTGTTTTGGTTTTACATATATATGACATGTCTAATACCATATTTATTCCTTTGACTGTTCCTGGGCTCCTGCGCCGTGGCTGCCTTGAGTAGTCCACTACCCCCGCGTAGGCCTTCCCTCGCCTGTACACAGGTGTTTGGGTATTTTAGGGACTTTTGTGGTTTGTCTTGTCTGGTCTCTTTCTCTCCCTTCTATTGCCCTTGTCCCCTTTCTTTCCCTATTCCTTCTGTCCTTGTTGTCTATTCTTTACCCCTTTCCTCTCCCCCTTCCTTACTTTGGACAGCTCGGAGGGTCCTTTTGACCGCCTGCCCTTGCTATCGGTTTCCGGATGCAAGGCCTGAAAATATGCTCTCTGAACATTAGGGGTCTGAACTCACCTCAGAAACGGTCGCAACTCCTGTATGATCTACACAAACTCCATAATCAGATTGTCTTCTTGCAGGAGACTCATTTTCTGCTCGATAAGGCTCCTCTCCTTGCCTGCCGCAACTTCCCCAGATGGGTATACAGTTCCAACCCCTGTGGTAAGACCAAGGGAGTGGCGATAGGATTCCATTCCTCGTTGACGTGTGAGATACTTGCTGAAAGGGTTGACCCAGATGGGAGGTATGTCTTTGTGCAATGTTCCATTCAGAAGAGGATGTTCACATTGGCTAACGTGTATATGCCGAACCAGGGTCAGGTCCCTATGTTACTGTCTATTCTCTCTAAACTTGCGGATTTCACAGAAGGCGTCCTCATCTTGGGAGGCGACTTCGATCTGGTGTTGGTTCCTAGTCTGGACACTACCTCAGGGAGGTCACAAATCTCGTA